GGTGGAGCTGTTTCCCGAGAAGGAATACCTGCACAAACAAAAAAGATTGTCATGAACATGAGAAGTCCCAAGAAACAAATAAAGAACCCAAAGGAACCGACGTACTTGTCGTTCTCCATTCCCGAGGGCAAAGTAAGTCATTGTACTCGGGACCAACACCCCTCTCCCAACATCCCTTGAAGATCAAGATGTCGTCCTTGTACCCCTTGTCCGAATCAGGAAGATGGGTTACAAGGTACATGGAGGGGTCCCTGGCTTTTAGGTAGAAATGTTGGTGGGGCATGACTCTTAGGAGGGAGTAACAGAAAAGAAGATCATTGAGCCCAATATTCACCCCGAGGCGCCTATTGAGCTCTAGGACCCCCATAATTATCCGAAAGACGTTGAGGCAGCATTGCCCGGGGAAGAGACGGAAGCGAGACAGGAACTGAAGAAGCAGGGGGGGTAAGGGAAACCTAATGCCACCCTCTATGATGGTCTTGGTATAAAAAGGCATGGCATCCGCGGCCCCGAAGGTATGAGAGTTCAACAAAGGGTTAAAGCCCACTACGTCCACGCTCGGGGGGATGCCATACTTCGCCCTGAACCTATCAATCTGCGCCTCGCCTGTCACCTTGTATTTCCCTGACCCCGAGGGACCAGCCGATGGATTCTCGGGAACAGGGCGACGACGAGGCATCTCTAAAAGAAAGGGAAGGAAAAGGTATTCTCTCTTGAAAACCTGAGGAAGTTCCCCGAGGGTTTAAAATCAACACGTACCGACCGGATGACACCACTGTTCAATCGGAAAGCAAGAAGGCTAGGGGGACGATAAAGAAGAAGGTTGTGAAACTCACCAGGAGACGTCGAAAACGGAGTTTTTCGGGAAAAACTTTGAAAATAACTCGCACCGGAAGGATCAGGAGTCAACAAATGGGTTCTACTGACTGAGGTTTTAAGAGAAGATGCTGTCGACGATGGCTGAGGAAACAAAAACTCCGGTGAGCAGAACAGAAAAGGCGTATTATGGGTCAGAGATCGGAGTGGCAAAACGATAGAAACCAGAGAAGAACCCCCTTTATATAGGGGGGAAAACTGTCATCATTGGGCGGGAGAACCAAAAACAGCGCATTTAATGCGCACGACATCCCAAGACGGGGAAAGCTGCTCGAGGCCATAATGAAGGACGGATGGCAGTTGGAAAACCCTTCGTCTCCTTACAACGCGTGTCCTCGGTGTCAGAAGATCGAAGGCTGGGGGGCAGTTGATGGGACTCTTCTGAAAAGCCCTAAGATGAAGACACGTGTCCTCGGGGTATTTGGAACAGTGTTGCCCGGATGTAAGCACCATCGGCGAAGAGCATCCTTTACCCCGAGGTACCTCTCATATAGGATCACACATTCGGTATATTATACAACAAACACGTGTCCTCGGTCACACGTGTACCTCGGAAACATACCACCCTCGGTCCCCGAGGTAAGCCTTTCCTCGGTGCCGAGGGTCACTCCATGATGGACGCTTCCTCTACTCCCGGATAAAGCTACTGACGTACTGGACATCAGCCTATGCCAGTCTGGACTATTCATCATGACCTCGTCTTACACAAGTAATGTCAGAACGTTCTGGAATACCGACGTCACAGCCAATAAGGGACGGACGCGTGGCAAATAATGTCACATCAGAAGCAGACAAACCGCATGCCGTTGCTGGCACGTGACTTGGGAAAGCAAACAATTAATTGCACCCTTCTGTTGACGAGACCGCATTCAATGCGGTAAGGTTCGGATATGAAAGGCAATAAATGCTCCTATTACAGAGCATTTATTGCATCCTTCCCGAAAGGAGCATATTGTACCGTCGGCGTCCCGACAACTCACCATTGATTGCTCGGGACCCCGAGCAGTCAATTAGAGAAGACATTCCTCATCAAATGATTACACACGCTACCAGTGCCTGATGATCACCTACTGACCACACTGACAGCAATCATGATCTTCTAAGGTATAAATACCCCTCCCAAAAGACAAAGCGGGTATGCAATCACAAACTCTCTACTAAAAAATATCTTTCTCAGTGTTTTCTCCTTCCTCTCTCTCATTCAAAGACTGACTAGACCGTCGGAGGGGATACGCCGGAAAACACTCCGGCGCCCTTCTAACTTGTTCTCCTTTGTTCCAGGAAATACCTTCCACACGTACAGGATCGTTCTTCCTTTCCCAAGGCCTTCCTTTGCCGTTCCAGGTTGCCACCGTGCCTCGAAGGTTGTTTCAAGCAGCGTGTTTGGCCACTCAACCGGCTCACTCAGAGTTCACCAGGGGAGAGATCTGTTCCCAATATTTTATATATCGTGCAGGATCGAGCCCGCACAGAAGTGATGAGTCTAAGGAATTTCTCTGGGGTAGAGTTGAGTTTTTGGTTTCTTTTTGGGCCTTGGTCATAAAAGACTCTTAAAGTGTGCTTGGAACGGGTGTTAGGGGGAGAAAAAAAAAAGATTAATTAGTCGGATGATCACCAAATATTAAGTTTCAATCATGCTACAGGGGTTGGTCGTAATGACTTTATAAGTGCGGACCTAATGCTACAATGTAATCTAACACTTATATTTTGTATAAATCAATACTATAAAATACGTGATATTAAATGAGATCGGATTAGTATTAATACCAAATATGACTACTATGTACCCTTTATAGTTTATAGGCTAACGAGTTGGTGGAGTGTTTTTATTTTTTCAGAGTTAATCTTGTACATTAACTTTTCTTCCAACCATAGCATTGGTTGTAAGATAACATATTCCCATTTAATCAAAACTTTGGTCCAAATTGATATAACTCTTAACTAGACCTGTTAATGGATTGGATTTCAGTTTGAACTCGATGCGATTCGAATATGGACTATAATCTTAATCAGATAATTCAAATTTGATCCAAATCTGTTTAGAGTTTAGACATCTTAATTCGTATTCAAATTTAGATACACAATAATCGACTCTAATATCAACCCGATCAAAATATATATACAAATAGATTTTTTTTGATTTGAACAATCCAACCTTATTACCCCGTCCACCTTCACCGAAAATCCCTTGCTTCCCTAGTCAGCCTCTACCTTGCCAACAGGCCGACCCAATAAGTAGGTCAACTGAGCAGCCGCCTAAAGCCTTAAAAAAAGAGAGGGACCTCAATTATGCTTGCAGTCTTTATCTATTATTGTGGCTCAAAAAAATATTTTACATACAAAAGACTTAATCATATGCAAATTCTTAGAAAAAGCACAAGTAAAACTGAGAGGCCCAGCAGTCCCTTCTAATGGTCAAATCACTAAAATATCAAATCTCCCAATACAATTAAAATCTACAAATAAATCTCTCTCTCTCTCACACACACACACTAACTAGTCTGCATTAAAAAAACTTGTATACTTAGTTATCCATACCACTAAAATTTTTTTTTTTCTTTCTCATGATCTATATAGACACATATAAACATTAATAAATTATTTTTTATATTTTTATAATAAATTATTTTTTATATTTTTATAATAAATTATTTTTTATATTTTTCTAATAAAATTATTTAATTCAACTATTTTTTTGTGAAATTATAATTTATAAGACAATTTAAAAGATGAATAAAGAGTAAATTTATACAATCTCTATTTTTCATATATTATTGTTACATTTTATTAAACCTTCTCTTAGTATAATCATTTATTATTTTAACACTTTGTTTTGCTTACAATAATTTTGGGGTTTGAATATGTCAACTGTAAAAATATGAATCCAAATATTAAAAGCATAAAACTTGAATAAGATATACTAACAAAATGTGAATACAAAAAATTAATCACTAATTTTACATCACAAAAAGTGAGAATACCAAATTTGAAATGAAATTTAGTTGTATGTTAAAATTATATTTATAATAAATTTTTAACGGGCCCCAATTATAACTTTTGCTTAATGCCTCATCTTTTGTTTGGCTGATGTGTCAATATGTGCGAACTTGTTTTTATAACTGAACCAAGATTATATGAATTAATCTCAAAATTTGAAATTTGATGAATTTTTATTGTTTTCCAAATCCATTGGATAAACGAATTGAATTTCAATTACATTTTTTAATCGGATGCGGCTTAACCGTAATTTGCTCTACATTCGATCCGTTCCTACCCTTAACTATAATGTTTAGGATGATATAACCGAACCAGATCCGTTGATAACAGTGTTTTAAAATTCGGTCCGGATCGGTGGGTCAACCCGGGAACCCTGTTAACCGGAGCTAGAACAAGGCCGGTTCCTATAAAAGATCGTTTATGTACAAAAATCGGAGAAAACCCAATGAACCTCCCGGTTCTTAAGTAAACCGTTCAAACCGGACGATTCAAAAAAACCGGACGGATTAGTTTGAAAGGGATAAATAATAGTGCTTTTGGCTTGGGCATTTTTTGCCCTTTGATTCCTCAGCTACACCTCTCACGAACGACTGAGGTCCGACGGCCTCTCTCTCCAGTCCAGTCCTCAGTCTCCTCCCTCCCTCTATCTCTCTCTCTTCTTTGCGCTGCGTCGAAGTCGAAGGAAAAGTTCGAACGACAAACCTTCGAAGTCGAGGTAGGAGGGATTCACTGGCCAGAGCTCCATTGCCGATTTCCATTTCCTAGGCATCCTCACGTGTGGAATAGCACACAGCATAGCAGGTACAGCCTCTGTCTCTGTCTCTGTCTCTGTCTCTGTCTATCTCTCTGTAGTCTGAAGCATTCTGCGTTGTGGGTTTGTATCATTAATAATTATTTTTTAATTATATTACCGATTCGACTAATGACCCAGTTGAACCAGTGATCCATTCACCTGATCCCTTAACTATCATAATACTCTCTCTTCACTCACTCAACACTTTGGGACCGCCTGTGAAGTTGAAAGAAAGTAGTTATCTCTCTCTCTGAACCAGATCCCTAAATTGCAGATTTGTTTTTTGTGTGTTGTTATTGTAGCTAACTAGAGAGCAATCTCAGCAAATTCAGAGATGGATTCTTCATCAACTATGCTGTTCAACCAGCTCAAGGTTTGAGTAGCTAGGTTCCCTCTCTCATTGCAATTTGAAGATAGTCGTTTACATTTGTAGATTTTTTTACTCTACTTACTAATCTCTGTCTGTCAAACCTTCAAACAGACCGCAGAACCATTTTTCCTACTAGCTGGTCCTAATGTGATTGAATCGGAGGACCACATTCTGCGTATGGCCAAGCACATTAAGGCTATCACTTCTAAGTAAGCGTAACTCTCTCCCCCTCCTTATATGGACATGAAGTATAAACAAACAATCCCTATCTCCTAATGGAAAATAACGGAGTCTGTTTCTGTTTATGTGAGAACCCTAAGTTCTTATTTTTGCGTTTTCCTGTTAGGAGCAAACGTGGTACTACTGTTTGATCTATGGATTATATATATTTATATGGATTATATTATAAAAGATTCACTTTTCTTCTAGACTTGGGTTGCAATTGGTTTTCAAGTCAAGCTTTGACAAAGCTAATCGGACATCTTCCAAATCATTTCGTGGTCCTGGCCTCAGTGAAGGCTTGAAGGTATTATTCTGTACTATCATGTTCTAATGCATCATTGTGTTCGACATAAGCAGCGATTTCAATTTTTTTTTACCTTTTCTTGTCACTAATGCGACATGTGCTAGGTTGTCTTGCATTGCCCAACAAAATTTGGATACCCTCAGTAATATCCTACATAAAATTCCAAAAGTAGATTCACCCTATTATCTTGGCTCAAAGCATTGGCTACGTTCAACATTTGAATCTATCATTTCAAAGAAAACTAAAATTGATGAAACAAAAATAAAGTACTCTTTCCTATATGGCCCCTGTGTAGTTGATAAACTTTTACATGAATGCCATAGAAGGTGCAATGGGACCATGCTAATTTATGGTAATCTTAGTGTGATGTGTTGTATACAACCAATCCCGTGGAATGCCTGTCAACTTCTAACACATTCATGTCACTTCCATTTGTTTGTAGATCCTTGAAAAAGTGAAAATAGCATATGACCTTCCCATAGTCACTGATGTACATGAAGCCATTCAGGTAACCTTTTCTTTCCTCTTTCAGTATAACTCTTCCATTTATGTTATAGATATTTTTTTTTATAGATATGTTTTTCAACACTTGATTTGGTTAGTGAAATTAAAAATGTCAGCCTCTCCATTAGAGGAATTGACCCCTGTCCGGTCTACTCTATATATAGTAATTTCCCTACCTCTATGCTTTTTACTGTTGGAGAAAAGTGCATACTTTGCTATTTTATTTCAGTAGTTTATCTTTCTTGACAGTACGATACTTCTTGTCATGCAGCTGGAGCTGCAGCCGTTTAGGTTTTTACCTGTTATTGTTGTTAAGGAAGGCTCCACTAAAGTTTATATTTTGTTATCAAATGTCCATTCATATGGATGTCCTTGTTTCAAATTAATGTTGAAATTTACCCTTTTTTTTTTTTTGGGTAAGGATGCCACCACATTAAGTCACATAATTTTGAAAGACTTAAATTATTAGAACCAAACTTCTGCAGTGTCCTTTTTCTACCTTTAAAGTTTAGAGTATTTGTGCCTGTGTGCTGTTTTGATACTTGTTGCCAAGATTGTCATTGGTGCTGAAGATGTGTATATTTAGATATACTTTGTTAGCTAGTTGATTGATTGCTTGGTTCAAATCATCCTATCCTCTCACTACCTCTAGAGGGAAGTCACATAGTCCCACTGGCATCGTCTAGAGATTTATGTCTACATTATTTTATTTTGTTTTAGTTTTCTTATTAGGTTTAGCATTTGCATTCTTATTTTTATACTAGTTCCAAAAATGGTAGTAAAAGGACTGGCAAGAACTGGTGTGCAACGGGGCATGGACTGTATTTAACACCGATTTTGTTCTCAGTGTGAAGCAGTCGGCAGGGTTGCAGATATTATTCAGATTCCTGCTTTTCTGTGCCGACAGGTGAATTATTCTCCTACCATTATCAGAAGTTTTATAATAAGGATGCATTATTTTCCCTTCCTTCAGGAGATCTTAAGAGATATTTTTGTCGGCTAGTTTAATTAATAGATTTTGTGGCCTCTTGACAGACGGATCTTTTAGTTGCAGCAGCCAAAACTGGAAAAATTGTCAACATTAAGAAGGGTCAATTCTGTGCTCCTTCGGTAAGTGAACGTTGCTAGATTTATACATGTCCATACTTTTATTTTGGGAAACATTTGTCGAACTAATGATTCATTAGCTTTTTAGGTCATGTTAAATTCTGCTGAAAAGGTCAGATTGGCTGGGAATAACAATGTAATGGTTTGCGAGAGAGGAACCATGTTTGGCTACAGTAAGTCATCAAAAGTTTCAATCAAATGCTATATTATGCATTAGGGTTCTGAATAATGGAGCATTCGAAGATTTTATCTGACTTGACCTCTGAAAAGCCTGTAAAGATCGGTACAGTACACCATAACAGATTAGAACAAGAGCAGAGCTATGAATATTTTGGGTGTGTGTGAGTGTGCGATGCTGTCCATTATTCAGTGATGTAGATTTCCAAAAGCATCCATGGATTAATTCCAGATTCAATCTGATAATGCTTTCACGTTATAAAAGAAAAAAATATACATATTCGAAACTGGCATTTAACTAGTTAACTGTGCACATTAATATCTATCTTTTGAACTTTCATGAATTAAGTTGTTTGGCATATTTTCTGGAATTTTCTTTGATGTTAGAGCCACAATTTTGCTTAAGCATGTCACAACCATGGATCAAAATTTCGTTTCGGTGAATTGTTTCAGTCATCTAAGAAACGGAAAAGTTTCGATGTGTTTCAGAAACGTTTCGACCGGTTTCAAAAGCAGAATGGAAAAAAATAAAAAATTTAAAAATTATTTTTTTAAAACATTGGTGGAAATATACCAAAATATCTTAAAATACCTTGAAACATTCCGAAAATGCATGAAAATATAACAAAATATTTTGAAACATTATGGAACACCTCGAAGTATTAATATTTCGATTTCATTACTGATTTGTTTCAGTCTCTTTGAAAACGGGAACGTTTTGGATGTTTCGACCGTTTTGAAACGATATTTTGATCCTTGGTCACAACATTGTTGTTGATGCAGTATTGATCTTATTTCTTTTTCAGTTTCATTGATAACATGTTTGATCTGTTATGCAGATGATTTGATTGTAGATCCACGCAACTTCGAGTGGATGAGGGAAGCAGATTGTCCTGTGGTATGTGGATTAGTTATGATCGTGCCTATTATAATGATGCTATGAAAATGTTTTTATGATAGTATCAGTTTCGTGCTGCGTATAGTCACTTCTATTTCCTAGAAGATTTGTTCATCTCATCCATGTATTGTGGTGCAGGTGGCTGATGTCACACATTCGTTGCAGCAACCTGCTGGGAGGAAGGTGAGGGTCATCTGTCGACTCATGCTTGAGGATTAGAGCATTGGGTAGATCTTTTTTTTTTTTTTTTCCCTGTACATTTGTCACAGGCATGCAAGATATAATCCCTACAAAAGCTCGACAGGGATGCGCATAAAATTGAATTAGTTTTTGTAAATTTGATAAAATTTATGTTAGTAGTATCCGACAAACCCAAAAGCTTTACTTGCCTTTTCCTAATGGAATTGGGGCTATCAGCTATAAGTAGAAATGCTTTCTTATTGATTGTAAAAGATCAATTAGTAAGCAAACTGAGACACTTTCCACAAAAAGGCGGAGATATTTTTTAAACCTTAGAGGGCCACTTGATGGTCCTAGAATAATTATTGCCTTCCAACAAACTGTCGTTTCTAGTTTTGATTTACAGCTGCAATTCACTTGAACAAAGAAATCATTTTTCGGTTGAATGAACATGTCAAATACAGTCAAATTTGATTTCTATAATGGATAATGTTCTTGAAACAACTCTATCTCATTTACAAAATACAACCAGGGAAGCAATTTGTGATTTTGTCATCTCAAATTATTGGAGTCTTTGAAAAGTTTTTAGCTATATTTGAAGTTTATTTGTATATGATTGGGTGACATTTCTTCTTTCTGAATTAGTTGGAAGGTGGCGGTGTTGCTAGTGGAGGTCTTCGTGAATTAATCCCTTGCATTGCAAGGACAGCAGTTGCTGTGGGAGTGGATGGAATTTTCATGGAGGTATCTTGTTAGAATCTGCTCTGGTTGATTAGTTTATTGCCTGTATCTCTCTATTAGTTCTCTGAGGGAGGGGATAAAATAAAGCAATGATTACAAGATACTAGATGTTGTGTTCATAATAATGCAATCGCTGCCAACTAGGTGATTTGTATTCTTTAAGTTCATAGAGCATATGCTTGGAAAATATTGGGTTTACATTATCATAAAAACTCCTGGAAATGTTGATTTTCCATTATTATTCCTTTTTTCCCTTCAATTTCCTGCTTTCTAGACTGCCTAACGGTATTCTTTGGATGATTAGGTACATGATGACCCTCTAAATGCTCCAGTGGATGGTCCAACACAGTGGGTAAGTTTCTGTGTACTGCAAAAATTTGGGGGAATATACATGAAAGAGTGTTTCTTTTTGGAGGTATTATATATACGCTGAAGCAGCCTTTAAGCTGTAGACTATCCACTTGTCTTGTTTTTAATTATAGCCTCTGCGCCATCTGGAGGAACTGCTTGAAGAGCTTGTGGTAATTGCTGTAAGTTATTCTACCCCTGCATAGTATGGATTATTGGAGTTCTAAAGAATACTTATTCCAAGATGTTAGCATCTTACGTAATTTTAGCTTGGATGAATTGTAAAGCACGAAAGTGAAATATTATGGGCTCGTTTGGTTGCCGTATTAGAAATTGATGGATTAGATAAAATAATCCAGTCTAATACAATATAGAAGGACAAAATATAAGATTAAATTGCGTATTAAAGTTATACGTAATTTTATCTATTTTTTGACAATACACAACATAAACGTTGGATAATAGTTATTTAATCCAATCAGTTGTTTGATTAGAGAATTATTTTATAGTATTAAAGTTCAATTAACAAAAATATCTTCAATCAGTGTTTGTTATATTGATGACAACTTGATTTTATTAATTGATTGAATATAATAGTAAATGTGTAGAATAATGCGTTTGAGTTGGATTATAATGGTATTAAAATATATGCATAATACATGTCTATCGTACAAAAAATATACGATAAATATACGTTTTTGAAATTAATACGGTATTAAATTTGTTTATCAAACTAAGTATTAGGCCCGATTAAATAAAAAATAGTACAATCCAATATTTAATCCTTTCATAATACGTCTACCAAACGAGTCCTATATGTATGCAGAGATGGAACCAAATGGGGGGCCTCTGCCCCCGGGGGGGGGGGTCATGGTCCAGCTCAAATTTTCAAAAATACTTTATACCCCTATTTTAAAAAACTTTACATCTTTCCTAGGTTTTCAAAAAAAAACATATATATATGTTTATGATACTTTATTTATTGCATTCAAATAAATAATAAACGGCCTTTAATAACCAGATGATGAATGCTATGTTAATCACATGGATGAGTGCTCCTTTTATGGACAAAAATATATTTGCCAGAATCAATTTGATGACCACAAAAAAAAAATTGCTTATATGATAAACAATATACGGACTCGTGATTAATTAGTCGGAAGTATGGTGTGAAACTAATATTTAAGATGGTAATTTATTTGTAATCGCAACATCATGTCGTAGGTAAGAGAATAAGTGGATCGTGATATATCTTTTTAGATATTATGATTCAAGCTAAATACTAAGAATAACATAACGAATGTACTCATTGATAAATTTTTTGACCGTGTCATTGTTCTTGTTTGGCCCCCTTGATGGTAAAATCTTGGTTCTGTCCTTGTATGGATGCACATTCACTAAAACTTGATGGTAGGACCATTTGGGATAAGATGGGAAAAAGTTGACTATGATGGCTTGACATTAAAAGTAATTATTTTATTCAACGGAAAGAAGTGAAATTTTGGTTTGTCAGATGAGCAGAGTGATACAATTTGATCCGTGACTTAACTTTAAAATGTTGAAATAACCTTTCTGGCTTGAGCTGATTTATGCTCAAACTATGATAGTAATGCTTTCATGATGGAGTTGTTGAATCCAAGATCGGCCCTACTTTAGACTAGTGCAAACTGGTGTTCAGTGAACATAAATGTGGACAGTTTGCGTGAGGAATGATTTGAGACACTTCAGATTATAATGGCAGGTTTGGCAGTAAAAGATTTTGCATTTTGTTGAAGTTTCTAGTAGGTGCATGACAGTGTTGTACAGTAGCCTCCAGAGTGTTTAAAATTCATAATAATGTATTGCATGAGGATGCTTACATTATTTGAAATGGGTCAGATTTGTCATCATTTGATTCAAATATTCTTTCTCTCCATTGTGGAATAATCACTGCTTAACTAAGTTTGAGCTGGTTTGAATAATACTATCTGAAATTTTTTTTTTAGATAGTTTTGAAACACCTCTTGTGTGTTATGATTAAGCCTCTAATTATGGAAACTGGACACATTTACCTGGATGACTGAGGAATCTGGAATATTATTGCATTTCAAAAACTTATCTTGTGTAACTTTGGTATAACCAAAAGAAAAAGTTATATATGTATCTCTAGAGCTACAACATTGAACTTAACAAGTGGGACACTATAAGATTTTGTTTAGGGGCTGTTGGCTGCTTACTATGCCTACGTGTCATTGATTTAGGTACAATTCTCTCAAATGATGGTCTCTATTTTTTGTTCCATTTTAATGATCTAATTTCTCTTCTTTGGATTTGTTGAAGAGGGTTAGCAAAGGGAAGCAACAGATGAAAATTGATCTCACTCCATTTCATCCATAGGAAGATTTTGAGGCTTTTCTTCAGGGTAAGCTAGCAAACACTCCTGGGTTCAGATTTTATTTTCTTCCATTAATCTACACGTGCAGTGAACTATCCAACTTGCAATTTCTGTGATGCTGCTTATATAAATCATCTGGTGTGTTTGCCACCTTTTACCGGGCTTGGCTCCCCTCTAATGGTGAGGATTTATCTACGTTAACAAATCTTATCTTACTTATAAAACATTTTAAATTTTGAAATTCAAATGGAACTGAATATGTTGATGTGAATAGGTCCTCGCCATTCAAAGAGAATTAGAGGATCCTCCAATAATTCTGTCTTTCAGCGAAACTTTTAATGAGGTTGTTGGAAACAGTTTCTGCTTGAAAAGAGTAATTCCTAAACTTGGATGTACGAAGTGGGAAATACCCATTATAGTAGCATGGATTGGAAGAGTTACGGTTTCTATCTTGAGGTCCCATTATCTGTTCTTTGATTATACATTGTTGTGCCCTGTACCCAATTCCCATGGATTTGGTGTTGAACTCAATTACCGTCAAATTTAACTCATAAAAAGTGCTAAAACCTCAAAATTAATCCTTCCAATGTTCGAAATAATCACAACTGTTGCATCACTGTCAAAACTATTGTAGAAAACAAGTTACAGAATATGCTTTAATTCCTCAGTTGATTTGATTCTACTGCCTTTACTCTCAAGTTAACCTGCATCTAAGAGGGTAAATAAGTGGTTAGCTTGGGATGTCCAATAAATAGATTAAAACATAAAATATGAAATAAAAGGAATTGAACGATAACAGAATAACTCAAAAATCAATTGCAGAAGCAAGAATCATCACAATTATGTCTCAAAAATCAATACTGAAATTGACACATCTCAAAATCAGTGGAAACAGATATTTGTCTAACGAACGATGTGAGAATCAAGCACGCTCATATCATAGCACACAAATTTCAAAACACACTGGACATAATCAAAGGAGTTTCAATTTACAGTAACAAACCAACCAATCGGAATGTGAGTGCAGGACAACAACAGATTACTGCAAAGAGATTTAATTAGGATGCATATTATGAGATAATCCACTTAAACTTCAATTGAAACCATGGATATAAAGACCTCAATGCTATTAAGAGCAGTCTAAATTTTCATCATAATCGATCCACTTGATTTGAAACTCTAAAATTGTCAATCACTGTTAGGTTCCCTAATGATGGGCACTAACTTGAGAAAGTGGTGAGCAACTTACAGTAGCAGCCTGGAACTAATGAATTGACAACTTGGGAAAGTGGTCAGCAAATTACAATAGTAACTAATCTACTTCTCTTTCTCTCTTTCTCTCTCTCTCTCTCTCTATTAATTTCTTCACGTGCTAATTGTTTCTATTTTTTTTTTGACTTGTTTTTTTCTGGTTTGTCACACATTCAATGATTGGATTTTGTGGGTTTTATGATCTTGCCGAAAAGTATATATGGCACCACAGGGCAGTGTTATTTAAGGCGTAAAGCGAACCGAAGCGACCAAGGCTCCTAACGCCTAGGCGAGAAGCGAGAAGCGAAGCGACACGCTTTATCGAAGCAAAGCGAACAGTTAAAAAAAATATATATTTTAGTTTAATTACTTCTAAACAATCTAAGTTCTAATTTTATATATACTAAATATTTAAATGCAAGTAAAACCATAAACATTTAAATTAAAAAAAACACTAATAATATCTCAAATCTTAATAACAGTCATAACTTAAACATTTAAATTCAAACAAATACTAAAAATTGTATACATTTTCATATTGACAGGGTAGGACAACAAAAGAAACAGAATCAGGACAACAGCAGAATTAGCAACAAAAAAAAAAGAAGCAGAATGACAATTAAAAAAAAACAAAAGCAACACAGGACAGCAAAATCGAAGCAGCAACAGAATCAACAAAAAAAAAATAGAAGCAGAATGAGCTAAAAAAAAAACAGAAGCACAATGATCATGACAGGAGCAGAATCAATTGTAAACAATTTCATATGTAATTATATACTGAATAAAAAAAAGTAGAACAGAGGCACATTTCACATGTACTAAAATAATTAAACATGGTATAACCATAGACCACTTTTTGGTACCATTTGTATTTATATAAGAAAAGGGAAAAGTATAACCAAGACATATCAGAGACACTTCTTTGTAGAAGAATTTATTATTTACCCCCATTTCTGATACTCCTGCTTTATTTTTTTATCATAATTGTCATGCAGTGTAGTCGTCTGACTCCCACATCCCACAAATATTCTAAATGAATTCAGCAACACAAGGAAAAAAAAGGAATGTGTTTTGTTCGAAACATTGTTTATTAGAAAAAAAAAAAAAAAAATAGACCAGCAATAGTCTAAAAAAAAAAGGCATTAGTGATTAAAAAATAAAAGAGACTACTAACCTATAATCAGAAAAAAAAAAAAAAAAAAAAAAAAAAAAAAAAGTGAAGCAGAATCGCTTTTTATAATAAAGCGTTCGCTTTTTCGCTTTTTTCGCTTCTTCGCTTTTTTCTCGCTTTTTTCTCGCTTCGCTCACGTTCGCTTCGCCTGGGGTCCTCCAGGCGAGATAAGCTCGCCTCGCCTCGCTTCTCGCCTAGGCGAGCTTTTCAAAACACTGCCACAGGGTACTGAAATTAGCTTCTTAGTTGAGAATATGACTTTCTATTCTAGAGAGGAATCTACATGCTTTGACTTGGTCACTTGTGTAGATTTGTTGTATTAGGCTGCTAAATAGTGAAAACATTTGTTTGAGAAGCTTTATCACCATAATCTATAGTTGTCTTTGACGCAGGAATGCACATATCCCTCCTCCCCATGCCGTAACCACTTTTAATTTTTCATTGAGACTTGGCAAGGATTTATATTTACATTTTATACTGGTGTTAATTTACTAGTTGTCGGTTAGCTGAAAAGATCCTTCAATCATCTCAGATGTGTATGCCAGTGCCAGTGATGGGGAACTTTCCAATTATATTCTGACCCACCATGGAGACATTATATTCATTTATTCCTTTACTGGTTGTATTAAGCATTGCATGTATAAGCATTTCATCTACTATTTTTTGATAAGAATTGCGCAGACCAATAAACACTTATGCTTTGTATCTCTGCAATTGTAACAGGGAGTTGGTGTGATGACCTGAACCAAATAGTAGTTTAAATAAAACAAGATTTAGTTGCTTGATTTAAGCTCTAGATAATAACATAACTAAATAGAAAAAAAATAAAATAAACATGAATATTTATAGGTGGAGAGATCTTAGCCTTAGATGGAATGCTGGTTACAATTGTGATAGAAATTGAACTGTGACATATTTGGAAATAAACTTAGAGTGAATGGGTGGAGTAATTGCACTTTTAACTCTCTTTCATATTGACCATTGATATAGGGGTAATTGGAATGTGAAAATTCAGGCATAACCTTTTGGGTTGGTAGTGTATATAAAGGATTTAGTGCACATGAGTTTTGACAATTTTATATTAGAGGAGGTTTTGGCAGCCTTTGATCTCTTAGATGACTATATTACATATAGTTTGTGCATAACAGCAAGTGGAAAATTCTTGAGAGAGAGAGAGAGAGAGAAAACCGTGAGCAAAAAAGAACAAAAATCACAATGGGAGGAATTGTGCTTGGTTTAGTGATCAACAACTAAATTATCGACATCAACTTTAGAGTGTTGTTTTGGGCATCAATATCTTCGCATGTATCTGTTTCAATATCAAATTATATAAATCTCTTTGCAAAGGGTCCTTCTATTGTTATTGTCATTATATTCTAATCTAGTGTTTAACCGTTGATTTGTGATGTTCGTTTGGTTTTTTGTTTGGTGGGTGTCTTTGTATTTTTTGTGCAAAAACCATTTTTGTTGGTGAAGTCTTTGGGACGTATTGGCACATGCGTCAAACACACTCGGTGGCATGGTTTTAATATTAAGACGTGATTGTGGCTCGAGGGGCATGTGATAAAATGTGATGTACTAAGTAGCGCCTAGTATATGGTCAAGTCAAACCAAGTACGAAGCCTCGAATGATTTGAATCGAATCGTGGGGTTTTGTATGATTTTCTGAAGGGATTTGTGTTAAATGATCATTTTATTTGTTGATTCTACGGTTGATTGTTGGATTATCATATAACCTTGTTATTCCACATATTATGTAGGAAATTGATTATTGGGCCTTCCAAACTCACCCCTATTTACCCCTCTACTATGCAGGTTGAAAAGAAATTGAAAGCTGATGGATGATCAGACCAATTGAGAAATTAGACTTTGGATTATTGACCATTGGTGAAATTTCACAATTTTGGGAGTGCTTTGAACCATTGTAATTATTTTTAAAGATTGGGCGATTCTATTTTTATTTATTAAAGATTTTAGTGCTTTGATTTGATTGAAATTATTTATAATTGAATTGACGGATCTAAAGAGATCGGCTTCGGGTCGTGACAGTTGGCAACCTGTATTATTTATTTTGGATCCATATTTGGCCTTTAGATTCAGACCAGGAAGATGTAAACATGATAGGATGTGCAAGGTGTTACTTAAAAAGAAACAAAAAAAAAAAGCCTGGCTTGAAAGCTATTGAATTTCTTTGACTCCATGGATTTTCATTTCAAATGAGAACGAACATTTTCAGGGGAGAGATTGAAAAAGAGAGACGAAATTTTAATGACTTATTCATGGTTGTATGATCATAAATTTATACGGTAATGTTGAATAATAAATTTAAAGAATAATGACTTCACAAATATACACTTCATGTTGGTCCTGTTGCTCTACAACATACTATGATTAGGATGACCACAAAAAAAGAAGGAAAGCAAAGGATAAATAAATAAATAAATAGGGGTGGATCACTTCCCAAGTTCAATCTCAATCAAAATAGAGTTAAGAGCTAGAATTGTCAATTGAGCATAGACCAAATTTTTTTTAATTTATTTCCAAAAATATATATGATATTGTCCATCAAATGATGAAGCACAAAAAATATTCCTTACATCCTAAAAATGTACTTGAAAATAGTTGGTACACTTTAAAATTTTAAGTCTATGAAAATTATAAGTCCTACAAAAACGTCTAAGTCAAAATTTTAGGCCAATAAAAAATTTAAATTTTAATATTTTTTTTGAGCTCATTATTCAACCCATAACAATAAAAACCCAAAAAATCAAAATTCTATTAAAAAAAATGGATGATATACTCAAAAGTCAAGTCATAATTCACCCGGTCATTCCCATCTCTCTTCTCTTCTCTCTCTCTATATGTGTGTGTGTGCAACACTAGATAACCCCTCCCTCCCATTTTTATTCTCACTCACCTTCTCTACATATCAATTTCAAATAAAGAATATTTTTTAGGTTTTTATTTAACTTAAAAATAAAATCATTGAATGTTGATAGTTTACAAAAATTTATCTTGATCTCGGATGTTTTTTAAAACATAACAATTTTTCTGACATTGATAGTTTAGATTTATTTTTTTTTTAAAATATTTTAAAGAAGATTTTATAAATGAAAGAAAATATTCCAATTGAGACACTAAATTATATAAAAAGACTAGATTTTTTATTCAAATATATGCATTACTTATAGAATATTATTATTAATTCTTCTACAAAAAGAAGCTTTAATTGATAAAATTTTACTTAAAATTGAATTTCACAAGAAAAAATAATTGGATTAGCAATATTATCAATAAAAAAAAATATGATAACAAAATTTAAATATAAAAATTCAATTTATACTTTTACAACTCAAAAAATGAGAAGAATTAATTTTAATCAAAATTTGTAACACTAAAAATAAATTACCGTTTTAGACCTCAAATTGCCTTGAACCGCCCCTGGATAGCGGTTGGAACGAAATCATGAGAAATGGTGGGTAAATAAAATATTCAAAGTTTGGTAAAAGAATAAAGGAAAAAAAAGTGAGAAATTAGATTTATTCCTAAAAATGACAAAATATAAAATAGTAAAAATAGACAATCTTATTAGAATGATATGTATATATATATATATATATATATTCTCTATTTTAACTTTTGGATAAATATTTTTTATTTAAAAAAAATACTCTATATTTTAAAGAAAACTATTGCAGATGCTCTAACTCACCCAAATTGCACTCCTAGTATTATAAAGCTAGGAGTTGGCTTCAATACCGAAAACGCAAAAATTGGTACGATGCCGAAAAAGTAAAATAGTTGTATGGTTGCCACTTGTACACTTTGAAACCCATAAAAATTCTTAACTGGTTTCACGTGTATATATTTTAAAAATAAGTGAAACCGCTATACACTTTAAAAATAAGTGATAATAGAAATTAAAATTAGTTTTAAAAAATGATAATTATTTATCTTATTTAAAACTAAATAAAAATATAAGGAAAAATTTACAATATTTGGGGTTATTGAGTGACATTAAATTTACCATTTTAGATTAAGTTAAAAATATTATGAGGTTAGGATTAGGTTATCAAAGTAAGTTCACCACTATTTTAAATGATCATAGAAATTAAAATTAGTTTAAAAAAATGATAATTATTTATCATACCTGAAATAAAAATATAATGAAAAATTTACAATATTTGAGGTTATTGAGTGACATTAAATTTATCATTTTAGATTAAGTTAAAAATATTAGGAGGTTAGGATTGGGTTATCAAAGTTCACCATTAGGCTAAATTACTACTAAAGTTTACCAAACATTTTTGGGTATTAAAATGTTACAGTTTATCAACAATTTTTTTTGGGTAAAATTGTCATTTTGGGGGTTATATTTTGGGTTAAGTTAAAATTATTACAACAAAGTTTTTCACTACTAAATAAATTACAACAAAGTTATCATATTTGAGTGTTAAATTAAATTAGGTAAAAATATTTGGGGTAATATGAAACTAATTACATAGTTGAGGGTATAATATGAAAAATATGAGGAAAATTTTGAAAAAGGGTGATAATTTAGGGGTATAAGTGAACTTTTAGATTGATATGATCTCAACTTGATTGCTGGTTAAGCAATCCAGATTAGTTTGCTACACAGATCTGTAGCGATCGCTGCATTCCAATCTAGAGCGATTCAGGTTAGATTGCTCAATATAGCGATCAACTTTCTTTGTTCTATTCCCCCAAAAATCAAACTCCTCAACTCCAAAATTCCATACCCAAAGCCCTACAACCCCAAATCAATTTCACCCAACCTAATTTTTCATACCCAAAATCAGCAACCAAATTGAAACCAATCGCCAGTGCCACCGCCACAGCCAGTACCACCACCTTCCTCTTTTCTGAGGTATCCATTCTCTCTCTCTCTCTCTTAATTTCATCATATTTTTGTATACATAGTTGCATAAGGGATGTGTTTTTGGGTTAAATGAATGATGATTTTTGTGAATGATGGTTCAAAAATAATGCAATCCTATCTTCCTCACATCTCTATCAATTGTTATTATTGCTCAAAAGTAATAGATAATCTGTCATGTTATTGCTCTTTTTTTTGACTAGATTTTTTCCTTGTTACAAACAGATCAGATAAGAGTATAATGACCAAAGGCAAAAAGAAGTGTAGGCCAAAAGTTGTGGATAGCAGTAGGGAAAAAATGAAGAGGAAGAAGAGTTGTAATCATCCTCCCTCCATTGATCCCTTCTCCAATCTAATTGATCCATCTGCAGCAAGTTCATCGCCATTTGTGAATAACAGTAGAGAAAAAATGAAGAGGAAGAAGAACTGTAATCATTCTTCCTCCATTAATCCATCCTCCATAATTAATCCCAGCTCCACCAATCCAGTTAATCCCACCTCCAATCCAATTGATCCCTCCTTCAATGCATCAAGTTCATCCAACCCTATATCCAATCCAGTAAGTTCATCCAACCCCATATGCAATGAAGACATATCTTTCTTCAACAAAAATTGTAAACATTGGTATGATAATTGCTTTTATTATAGGCCTTTGTTATTGGATAGAGGTGTTTTACTGGATCAATTAAAAGATGTAGGATGTGATGTTATTTTTGCTTTTCATCAATGGAATTCTGCAATTGATATTAAGAAGACGGATAAAGCATATAATACATTGGTGAAAATATTTTATTCTAACATGCATGATAGTGATAAAGGTGATCACAAGTTTAAATCCCTTGTGAGGAATGTAAGTTTTGAAGTAACCCCAGATTTAATTTCAAAAATATTGGGAGTTCGCCGACCATTCGTTCCTAACGATAGACTTACCTATCCATTCAAGAATTCTAAAGACATACCAAAGTTGAAAGATATTTATGCAGAAATTGAGGGTATACCTAATAATTTTAGTGAGAGTGTTGACAATCTAGTATTTATTTCAGCAAGACCTTACTCCAAAATATAGGATGTTAAACCTTATAATGGGGTACAATATTAGTCCAAGAGGACATACTGCAGATTTTGGACTTGATCGAGCTCATCTCCTGTATGTCATTGGAAAAAGTATATGTATAGATCTACCTTGTTTAATAGTTAATGAAATTATTTCGGTACAAGGTACAAAGGATAGGCAGCGATGTCTCCCATTCCCAATTTTGATTTCAAAGATTATGGAGGATTGTGGAGTTGTAATTCACTCAAACGATACTTATTCCACTCCCATGAATCCAATTTATGGTAGGACAATAAAAAAGAGTTTGGAGTAAGGTAAGAAGAAGGAAACTCAGCAACCACAACAGCCACAAGTTGAAATCGAGAATAAAGTTAAAGCTGAGGATGAAGATGAAGCCCAAGATGTCCCAAATTCTTCCACATGTGGTCTTCCTCCATTGAATGATCTTCCTCCATTGACTATATTTGGACATTTGCTTGTACGAATGGGCAGAAAGATGGAGGAATTTGAAAATACTCAAAATGAAATGAATGAGTCTCTAAAGGTGATCGATAGTAGGCTGGATAGAATTGAGTCTTTTTTTATGAAAAACAAAGAAATAGCTATGATGTGACATTTATATGTAATTGTAGTTGTTGGTTGTTGATACAATAGTTTAACTAATAGTAGTGAAATGAGATGAAACAAATTAATGCAATATGATATGTTTTTGTAAAAAATCTAAAATATATTTGTTCTTTATACATAAAATGAGCATGATAATGATTGTGATGAGCATGGTTGTGGTAATTTAGTAGTAAGATTATAAATTCTTACGTAATTTTACCTCTAAAAATACACCAAAAAAGTTGTATTCTTACATCCAAAAAAGTTGTATTCTAAGCCCAAAAAAATTGTATTCTAACCCAAAAAATGGTAATGTTCATCAAAAAAGTGGTAATCTTCCCTAAAACATAGTAATTTTACCCTAAAAAATTATTATCTTGCCTCAAATAAATGGTAACCTTATTAAAAAAAGTGGAATTCTTACAAAATAAAGGTGATAATGTTACACCCAAAAAGTTGTACTCTTACACCTAAAAAAGTTGTATTCTAAGCCAAAATAAGTTGTATTCTTACACCTAAAAAAGTTGTATTCTAAGCCAAAGTAAGTTGTATTTTTACACCTAAAAAAGTTGTATTATAAGCCCAAGCAAGTTGTATTCTAACCCAAAAAATGGTAATGTTAACAAAAAAGTGGTAATCTTGCCTCAAATAATGGATAATCTTACCAAAAAAGTGGTATTCTTACAAAATAAAAGTGATAATTTACACCCAAAAAGTTATATTCTTACATCCAAAAAAGTTGTATTCTAAGCCCAATCAAGTTGTATTCTAATCCAAAAAATGGCAAAGTTAACAAAAAAAAGTGGTAATCTTGCCCTCAAAAGTGGTAATCATCCCTAAAAAATGATAATATTACCCCAAAAAGTGATGATCTTGCCTCAAATAATGGGTAATCTTACCAAAACCATGGTATTCTTATCAAATAAAAGTAATAATATTATATCCAAAAAGTTGTATTCTTACACCCAAAAAAGTTGTATTCTAAGCTCAAGGAAGTTGTATTCTAACCCAAAAAAATGGTTATGTTACCCAAAAAGTTGTAATCTTTCCCTCAAAAATGGTAATCTAACCTCAAATAATTGGTAATCTTACCGAAAAAGTGGTATTCTTACCAAATAAAAGTGATAATGTTGCACCCAAAACGTTGTAATGTTAACAAAAAAAAAATAATACTCTTACCTCAATAGTGGCAATCTTTCTCTGAAAAAATGATAATTTTCTCAAAAAATTGATAATCTAACCCAAAAAATGTGATAATATTGCCTCAAAAAATTGGTAATCTTACCAAAAAAAAGTGGTATTCCAACCAAATAAAGGTGATAATGTTACACCCAAAAAAGTTATATTCTTTATATATAAAATGAGCTTGATAATTTTTGCGATGAGCAAATGGTTGTGATGAACATTGTCTTCGGATTTTTTGCTTCCAATATTGGTCAAGCTAGGTATATCGAAGAGATTCACAGGTTTTTTTAGGATATAGCAGAGATTCACAAAGGTAGATTAGAGATATGCTACAGGAATAAAAGCACATTTGTTCACATATTCAAAACAATAAAAACTACTCAGTTGCCTTATTGGATAAGCTCTTCCACTGATCATGGCTCAGCTCCTTCAACTCTCTTCTAGCTCATGATGGCTGATACTTGCAGATCAATTTCAGCTGCAATCCTCAGCTTGTTTTCAATTCAAGGTAGTTGTTGTTCTACTGCTCGTAGCTCATTTAATTACTATGCAGCTAGAATCTTGTTCAAGTCACTATTCGTGTGATTATTTAGCATTCTAGCACATTTCAGTAACTGGTTTCATCAGTTAGGATATTATTATTTTTTTCATATAAAATCATGCATTAGAATTTTTAATTCCTTATCACATTGTAATTAGATTGCATCGAGGGGTAAGGTAAATATGTCCCTCCTAGCTAGATGTAATTAAATTTATAATCAATAAAATTCTTTTGCATTGTCGATGTTCCCCTAAAAAAAAATAAAAAGGGATATCGAAGTAAAAAAAAACATGGAACGGAGAATGAAAAACATTTTAGTTCAAAGTTGCAAAAAAGTCAAATTTCATCAACCCATCTTGCTCCATGATCTTGGTGCCCACTGTTATAGCAGAAATTGATGGTTAGATGACAATGGTGAAAAACAAAATTTGTAGGATAAAATTTGTAATTTTTGTTATTACCTCCATATTACTGAAACTAGTGTTGATGTACTGTGATTGAATAATAGAATCAAAGTTTGACATTCCATCTCAAAATAAACAAGGAATGAGTTCATATGAAAAAAAAAATATAAACATCCAAAGAGTATTATTTGAACCTGATAGTTGAGGATACCCTCGTTGACAAAGAGATCCAACAGTCATCCTCTTCAATGATGGCATAGATTGTGTGCGGTCCACCATGCTGTGAAAAAAGACATGTGGGTTGGGTGTTTAGATCCACCGAGTGTTGTGAAAAAAGGCTTGTCCTGTGGTGGCTGTGATTCAATTGGTTTGTAAAAAAGACATGTCCTCGAATGGATCATTGGATTGAGACATCAAGAATGGACATTTTCTAACAGTATGACCAGTGCCCTTGCATTACTACATCTTCGCGGATTGATTGGAATATTCTTACGTGCACGACTTGGATTACCCTTGTTTTCACGATCTTTGGATCATTCAACACCAAATTGTGTATTTGTCACGTTTGCATCATGTTTGCCAAGTGACTCATGATGGGCTTTTAGAAGAGAAGTTTTGTTGCACCATACTCCTCAGGTCATTGAGTCTGAGAGCGACTGTGAACCGTAATAACACATTTGGCTGCACATTGACATAACTCCAGCATAACGCATAGAAATTG